AGATCGGAATTTTTCAAGCAAACGTTCCTAGGAAACGGAGGAGGGGTGGGGGCAGACAACAAAAGCAGACGCACACAAACAGGCCCAGAAGCAGTGCGTGCTGGACACCGGTTCCCAACTGCACGGGGACGCAGGCCCTCGCGGCCAGCGCAGCTGGGTCCCCGGGGGCCCATGAGCCGGGGCGGGGGCGGGGGGTCTGCTCCAGGACACCCAGCAGAGTGGGTGAGTGAGAAAGCCCAGCCGTGTCTCCAAGCTACCAGTCTGAGGCCCTTCCCGTCTCCTGGGCTGAAGAACCTCCAGCCCCATCTTAGACCCATTGTTCTGGCTGAAAATCTAGGCCAAGGCCACTGTGGAGGAGAAGGAATATTTCCGCCTCTGCTCCCTTGGAAATCTCAAGATCGCAGCCCAGGCAGGTCACCAGGGAGCCAGCTGGCCCCCCTCAGCCTGGTCCGGGGCCAGCGGGAGCGGGAGAGGTGGACGGGCAGGCAGACGGGCAGCAGCTCATTGCGGGGTGCAGGGCCCAGTGGGGAGGACAGCAGCTGCCCTAATTACTCCTGCTCTCCAGGTTCCAATCTCGTTTGAAAAGGACTCTAGGGACGCAGCCTTTAATAACTACCAGTAAACAGGCAGGAAAATCAATACCTGGTAAATAGAGCCCTGGAGAGAGGGACAACGGGGCTGGCTGGCTCTGACCTGGCCCGGAGAAGCTCCCAGAGTCCTTTGTTGCAGAGCTGGCCAACACTGCCCTTAGGAGCTGTGTCCCCACCCCCACCCCTGGGGACCCTGTGTGTGCTTTGGCTCCGGCTCCAATCTCCACTCCCTCTCCATGAAGACCGACTCCTCCTCTTTCCCACTCCATCTGAGCCCTGACTTGTGCCAAGTAGGTTGCCTGTTTCAGTTGCAGATGCTTCCTTTGTGCCGGGTTTTGGGCCTGGTGCTGGTAACACTGACCTGATCCTTGTCCTCCTGAAAGCCATCAACCAGTGAGGAAGATTAAGAACAAAAATGAATAATTGGATGACAATACAAGGATAGACATGCAACAAAAAGCTGTGTAGGCCACCTATAGCAGCAGAACAGAAAAGCACTTCCTGGAGGAGGTGAGCCTATAGAGGGCTTTGTTGGGTGAATAGGAGTTCGCAAAGTGAACAAGGGCCGGGAGACAGCGAATGTGGGTAATGTGTACAATAACAACAGCCCTCTTAGCTAACATTCACCAAGCATTTACTATAGCCAAGCGCTTTGCTAAGTACCCATGACATACATTATCTTACTTTGTCCCACAGTAGGTGTTACTACCCCCATTTCACAGATGAGAACACTGAGGCTATATGTGGAACCAGAATTTGCACATGACCTGTGAGACTTCTGAGTTGTTTCAACCACTTCACTCTGCACCTCCCATCCCTGACCCTGCTCTGCCCAGTTCAAGACGGTGGCACACAGAGGTGGTTAAATAAAGTGAGTTCCCATCCCGTCTCGTTCCTCCCCTTCCCATCGGGGATCACACCTTCCAGGTAACACAGCACCTGAACCCTCAGCAGGAGGCGGATGGTGGTACATCAGAGCTGAAGCTCATCTATCACGAGTTTGCAGACAGGGACACTGAGGCCCTGGGAGGAGAAGACCAGCACTCAGGAGCAGAGGCAAGACCAGGACCTGGGAGTTTCTCTCTAACTCATCCCCTCTCTAGCCTGCCCTGGAAGAACATCATTGTCAAGGGAAAAAATCAATATGCACACACTCAATTAAAATGATAAATCAGACATCAGAATGAGGCCGCCCCAGAGGCCCCGGGGAACTTTTCATATGATTGGCTGGAACGTTACAGGAGCCCAGGGACCCACCCCCTCCCTGCTTCTCTCATTATCGCAGCTACGGCTCTGTGCCTCAATTTCCCCAGCTCTCGGGGTCTGGGCAGTTGACGCAGGGAAGAAAAGTCCCTGGCAGAGAGAGAGAGAGAGCGAGAGAGAGAGAGAGAGAGAGCGCGTGCGCGCAGAGGTCAAGCTGCTTCAGCCCTGGGTAGGGACCCAAGTAAGGAGAGTCAGAGTGTGTGCTCAGGAGGAAGAAGCCTGAGCAAGGTGAAGGGGGAGGAGGATGGACAAGAATGGGTTCCCACCCACTTGGCTGCAGGTTCCTGGGCCAAGCACCCTGGGGGATGCCGATTACCAATAGTCATGAGGGTCTGCTATGTGCCAGGCACTGTGCTAGGTGCTGGGGAGGTAGACATGACCAAAGTGGTCAAGATCTCTGTCCTTGTGGGCTGACAACCTGGTGGGAGATGACAGAGAGTAAAGAACGTGTGCAGATCAATATATCATGTCAGGCAGCGCTAAGGGCCAGGAGGAAAAATAAAGCAAGATAAGAGGATGGGAATGGGAGGGTAGCGTTCTTGCGGTCTGGGAAGGTCTTTTCAAAGGGGTGACGTTTGAACAGAGATCTAAAAGAAAGGAGGGAGGAAACTGTGAGACCATCCAGGCATGGCTAGGTCCTAGACCAGGCAAGGGGACAGCAAGTGCAAAGGCCCTGAGGCTGGACAGCATTTGGGATGTTTTGAGGAACAGCAAGGAGGCCAGGGTGGCTGGAACGGAGTGTGTGAGAGGGGACTTTGTAGACAGTGAGGGGACTTTGTAGACAGTGTGGGGCTTTGTAGACAGTGAGGTGACATTGTAGGTCATGGCCAGGACTTTGGCTTTCACTCCAAGTGAACGGGAGCCATAGGATGATTTGCAGCAGAAGGATGTGGTCTGCTTTGCACTGAACAGGATCCTTCTGGCTGCCATGTCAGGAACAGACTACAAAGAGCAAGGACAGACACAGAGACCATCGGCCATGAGGCTACTGCAATAGTCCAGGCAGGAGACATACAGTGGCTTGGACCAGGTATATTCGGCGCCGTGGGGAGAGGGTGTGATCAGATGTGGGATGTATCTGAAGGTAGTGGTGACTGCGTTTACTGCTAGACTAGAGGTAAGAAGTGAAGTCCACGCTTAGGGAGTTTGGTGACACAGGCAGATGGAAGGATAGAGCTTCCAGTGACTGCAATAAAGACTTCAGGAGGAGCAGGTTGGGGTGGGGTGAGGTCAGATCTCTGCTGTAGCAGAAAAGTTTGAAAAAGTGCTGGGGAGGTGCTGGGGAGGCGACTGGACACAGATGTCTGGCTGGGGCTGCACATGACCAGTTTGGGAATCATCAGAGAAAAGACAGTATTTGTCTCGATTGATCCTTCTAGCAAACCTGCAAGGAAGATCTGCGTGTGCCCGTTTCAGAGATGAGAAAAGTGAGGCTCAGAGACATTGAGTCACCTGACCATAGTCACGGAGCTGGAAAGTCAGGCAGTCCGGACTTGAAATTAGGTCAGTCTGCCTCCCAGCCTTGGGGCCCTGCCCACGCACTGTGCTCTGTGGCTCTTCTCACTGAATCCTCCCAGCAGCCTCGTGTGAGAGGGGCAGGGTGAGTCACAACCTAGCATCACCGTCATTTTCGAGACGGAGCCACTGAAACCTAGGGTGGCTGAAGGGACTTGCCCACAGTTGAGGAGCAGTCAAGTTTGCAATTTCCCTGCAGGTGTGCTACGTGAACCCAGCCAAAGAATCTCCCTGCACTGGCCCCACGCACAGAGCAGGCTAAAGGCTCTGAGAAGTCCTGCAGCCTGGACTTTGGGTGATCTCTGCTTAACCCAGTGTCCCATGGAGCCTTGCTCTTGGGGAGCATCTACAGCTTTGGAAGTCACGGAGCAGTGGTTGGGAGCAAAGCCTCTGTGGCCTCATTTTTGAAATGAGGGCATGAATGCCCACCTGACTGGGTTATCGTGTGTTTATTATGTTCTTTTCGAATGAGCACTCAGTATGGAGTCTTCCAAAGAGCAGAAAGTCATCTGGCCAGTGTGGCTCAGTGGTTGAGCATCGACCCATGCACTAAGAGGTCACCGGTTTGATTCCCAGTCAAGACACATGCCCAGGTTGTGGGCCTGATCCCCAGTGGGGGGCATGCAGGAGGCAGCCAGTCGATGTTCTCTCTCATCGATGTTTCTATCTCTCTTCCTCTAAGTTCCTCTCTAAAATCAATAAAGGAAAAAAATAAATAAAAGGTTCTAATACATTAAAAAGAGAGAGAGAGAGAGCAGAAAGTCAGCAAATGTTTGTTAAAGGAAGGAGCAAATGAAAAAACAAAGGAATGACCTGGTACAGGGATGAGCAAAAGGCATGAGGGAATAACACAAGAATTGAGTAAAACGGATCCATGTCTGAACTAATGAATTCATTCATACGTTCAACAAATACCTGTGGGGCATTGACGGTGCAGGCGCTGGGGATAGAGCCGTGAATAAAACCAAGTCCCTGCTTCCTGGCGGAGACATTCTAGCGAGAGGAGACAGAAAACAAGATAAAGAGGTAAAATAGAAAGTATACCAAATGGAGAAAATGGAAGGAAAACGCGAACGGGGCGCACATTTTAAAACGGGGTGTTTGTAAGAGGAGGAATGGCGGGGTGCGTGGGGAAAGGCGCCAGGGAGCGAGGATAAATGCAGGTGTGAATGAAAGTGTAGTGGTTGACCGCAGGCAGGGGCGAGGATGTTTGAATGAATGAACTGAGGAATGTACGAACGTGGGAACTGGGGTATGAATAAATGAATGAGCTAAAGAAGGAATTATGGAATGAATGAAGGTCTGCCTGCCACCCACGTGTCTGCATGGCTCTCTGTCCCCACAGCAGGTGCTGACTCTGCTGGCCCACCTTGCCAGAGGAGCCCCACACCCCTTACCTCCTCCTGCGCCCCAGGGCCGGTGATGACCACTAGTCCAGTGCCCCGTCTTGACCCTCCCTGAGAGGTGGAGGGAGCTCACCTGTCTGGCCCCTGCCATGCTTTGCTGGAGTGCCTGGCATGGTGTCTCAACACCACCTTTGCTGACCTCCCCCAGCCCCAGCCCCTCGGCGCTGACCCTCCTGCCCGCTCCCCGCGCCCCGCACCCTCCTGACTCTTCCCCTTGTGAACACAGGCACCATGCGGCCGGTGCGGCGCAACTTCTACGACCCGTCGTCGGCGCCGGGCAAGGGCATCGTGTGGGAGTGGGAGAACGACGGCGGCGCCTGGACGGCCTACGACATGGACATTTGCATCACGATCCAGAACGCCTACGAGAAGCAGCACCCGTGGCTCGACCTCTCGTCGCTCGGCTTCTGCTACCTCATCTACTTCAACAGCATGTCGCAGATGAACCGCCAGACGCGCAGGCGCCGCCGGCTGCGCCGCCGCCTGGACCTCGCCTACCCGCTCACCGTCGGCTCCATCCCCAAGTCGCAGTCGTGGCCCGTGGGCGCCAGCTCCGGCCAGCCCTGCTCCTGCCAGCAGTGCCTGCTGGTCAACAGCACGCGCGCAGCCTCCAACGCCATCCTGGCCTCGCAGCGCCGCAAGGCGCCCCCCGCCGCCCCGCCGCCCCCGCCGCCGTCGGGAGGGCCGCCCGGCGCGCTTGCCGTGCGCCCCAGCGCCACTTTCGCCGGCGCCACGCTCTGGGCCGCGCCTGCCACCAGCCCCACCGAACCCGCGCAGCCCCCCGGGGCGCCCCCGCGGAGCCCGAGCGTCCCCAGCGGCGCGCCCACCCCGGGCCAGAACAACCTCAACCGGCCTGGACCCCAGCGCGCCACCAGCGTGAGCGCACGTGCCTCCATCCCGCCCGGGTAAGACGGGCCCCTGCGCAGGGGTGGCTGCCCAGCAGGGCTAGGAGCCAAGAATTGCGATCGTAACAGTAATCATAAGCGATATCTAGCATCTATTAAGTATTCGCTTTGTGTAGTGTTAACTAAGCACCTTAATCCGTTCCCACTCGTTTATCTTCATTCATGAAGACCCTATGAGGTAGGTACCACCATCACCCCAATGCACAGATGAAGACACTGGTGGGGGAGGGTTCATAACTTCCCAAGATCATACAATTCGCAAGTGATGGGGCTGTAGCAACAAGAATAAGGGTGTGTAGTCCATGCGTATTTGCTAAACTTTGTCTGCATTGTCTGGTTTATCACTCCAAATAATTCTAACGTGCCCAAATTACAGATAGAGAGGCCGAGGTGGGGAGAGGTGGGGTACCTTCTGAGAGTCACCCAGTCGGAGAGCAGGGATTGAAACTCAGACCTGTAGGATTCCAGAGTCCGTGTGTGTTGTCTTCTGGTGTTTAGAGGGTTTCCACCCCCTGCCCCAGTCCACGCCCATCTCCCCGGGGAGGTTCGAGCAGGCACTAGCCACCTATGCAAAATATTTCCCCTACAGGCCGCACCCGAATTATCACCATTACTTTGAGCTGATACTATGGTTTTCAAACTGGGCTCTGGGGACTCCTGGGGTCCCCAGAGCTGAGATAGTGGCAGGAGAGGGTGATGGGTAAGGAGAAGTTGGGTACAAAAGAGCAGGCCTCTGCTCTTGTTTTAACCAGAGCAGCCCAAGAGGAGGGCAGCACCAGAGGCCAGCTCTGCATCTGTGACCATGGCATGGCCCAGGGGATTGACCGTGATGCGCTGAGGGCAGCCAAGGTCATGTCCGGATACACTCTCCGAGGTCACCTCATCCAGGCCTCCCCTTTCACCAAGGGAAACTGAGGCCTTGGGGAGGGAAGAGACCTGAGGTAGGGTGCCTTCTGTCCCTTTGAGAGTCTGCATAGGTTCGAGTCCTGTCTCGGCCACTTCTGAGCTGTGAGATCTGAGGCAAGTCCCTCCCCTTCATGGAGCCTCAGTGTCATCATCTCTCAAATGGGAGCAGGACTCCCCATCAAGTGAACACGCTGTGTACCTGAACACATTGCCATAGTCAGCAGTGACAGGACTGTGTCGGTTATCCAGGGGCCGGTTGGCATGGGGGCAGGGGTGCTGTAACTTTCCATGGGGAGATCAGCAACTGCCACCTGCCTGCCTCTCCCTTCCCTTCCCCTCCAGGTCACCCCTCTCCGCAGGCCCAGTGCCAACAGGAAGGAGACCTCAGGAGGTGGGCGAGGGCTCTGGGGGAAGCCTTGCAGGCGGGGCTCAGCACAGAGACCCAGAGACTGGAGTGCTCCTTATGACTCCTATTAGACAGCAACCTGGCCCCAGCTCCCGGGTGCAAAGGGAGAGTTGGACAGCCCCAGAGCGGGACAGCAAACGGGAGTGGGTGTGGGAGGGGCGGAACCAGCGCCGGGCCAGGGGCCTCTGCCACGAGAACCCGAGAACTTTCTCCGTGGGTTGTACTGTTGAAACCCGCCAGTGGGTTATGGAATCAGAAGGCTGTAACCAGCGTTTCCTGGGGATGGAGTGGGACCCGTAGAGTAGGAAAGACAGGTCTGAATCATCATAGAGATGGTAAGAGTGGTTCCGTGAACTTGTGCCGCGTTTCTACGTGTGTTTAACAGGTTGCCAGGTGAAATGAGCGACGTAGTCCCCGCGGAACGTGAAAGCCGCCGTTTTACCGTAGGCTGGCAATTACGTAGCTCGCATTACTCACCATTAATGCTCCAAATGCGTTCCGTGGGTACAGGCTCGCAGAGCGAACAAGGCCGAGGGGGTCCAGCCTGATGGGGAGACAGGCAGAGAGCAAGTGGACCAGGAAATGAGCACAATCACTGGAGGGAGGGGAAGTGCTGGGGAGGTCGCGGGACAGAAAGTGTGGCCGAGAGGGAACGGCCAGCTCAGGGCAGGCCCCTCTGAGGAGGTAGCCAGTGCTGGAGGAAGCTGTCCCAGGCAGAGGGGCTGGAAGGACGCGGGCACTCGGGGATGGGCTGGATGTGAGGGGGGAAGGGCACCCCAGGCAGGGGCACTGTAAGTACAAGGGGTGGAGGTGGGACTGAATCCAGCAGGTTCTGGACGCCACACAGGGGTGGCACTTCCCTGCTGGGACATTGGGGGCTGAGGTTTTTCCCAAGTGGAGCTACGGAGCCAGGCTGTGGGGTAGGGGAGCCTGGGCTGGATGCTGCCGGCACTGGGGAGCTGATGCTCCAGAGGGCGGTGGAGAGAACGGTGATCTCCTGGGGGTGCTGATCATTAAACATGTCCCCTGGGACATACCAGAACTCCGTTCTCCCCAGCCATGTGCCCCACCGCTGGGAGCTGTGATGACCCTCTCAGAGACCAGCCAGTGTCCTGGAAAGGGGGCTCCCTCGTCCCTCCCTAGTCATGCAGACCCACCCAGCCTCACCTCTGCCCTCTGACCTACCCTCCCCAGCCAGACAAGCCTATGTCCAGGTCTCCTGACCCTCATCTCCAAGGAACACGAGCTAAAAATACCCCACTCAGAGTGGGGGTGGGCGCAGAACCCCGGAGTCTGCTGTTGAGTGAGGGGAGTGGGAGGAAGGCAGGATGGGGTGGCAGACCCTGGTCCCTCCCAGCTGAGCCCTCCTGTTACCAAGGCGGACAAGGCCCAGGTGCAGCGAGCAAAGGGATAGGGATGGGGTCTCTGAGGAGCCAGGCAGCCAGACCCCCACCCTGGTCCCCAACACCTCCCCCCCAAGCCCTCCTGGCCCCTGTTTATGGTGTTCAAATTTCCTCTTCATAAGGACACAGGTCATGTTGGTTAAGGCCCGCCCTAGTGACCTCATTTTAATCACTTCTGCAAAGACCCTGTCTCCGAAGTGTCTAGGGACTGGGCGTTAGGAATCCAACAGAGGTCTGGGGAACACCATTCAACTGGTAACAGTTTCTAACTCTCCTTTCCTAGCCCAGTCTTGGTCTCTTTCAGTCTGTGTCTCTCTGTGCCTCCCTGACTGTCGTCTGTTACTCCCTCCCTCCCACCTTTTCCTTCTTGGCTCTCTCTCCCCTCCCTGCTCTCTTCTCTCTGCCGTCCCTCCCTCCCACGCAGGACTCACGCGGACCCAGAGTCCAGTTCTACCTCCGTCCCTTCCCAGCTGGGCAACCTTGAGCAAACAGCTCTCTCTCCCTAGCCTCAGTTTCCCCATCTGCCAAATGGCACTAAAACCACCACCACCACCATTCACACGTGAATTTAAAACCGCTGCGCGTGATCAGCACGGAAGGGAGGGATGGACTCTGGAGATCTCCGAGTCCGTCCTCACATTCATCCCCGTCTCAGCCCGGGGTGGGCAACAGCGTGGAGGCCCAGAGAGGGCCACTGACTTCCCCAAGGCCACACAGCCAGCGGGAGTCGAGTGTCTCCACGACTGGGGTTTTTCCACTTGCCCCCGTGACAGAGCAGGGAGCCAGCTGGCAGCCGGGGCCTGGGGGACAGGCAGGGGTGGGGAAGATCCGCCCTGTCTCCTGAGAGGGCAGCGTCCAGCCACTTTGGAGCACAGCTGTGGAGCAGACTCAGACTTTCCACTGCACGTGTGGCGGGGGAGGGAGGGGACAGCTGCGGGCCTGTTTTTCTGTGCTGAGCACTCACTGTGTCGCCCTGGGCTCCATTTTGTAGCTTTTATATACATCAGCCTCTCATTTAAAAAAAATTTTTTTTTCTTTATTGATTGTAGAGAGAGGAAGGGAGAAGGAGAGAGAGATAGAAACATGGATGAGAGAGAACATCGATTGGCCGCCTCCTGCATGCCCCCCACTGGGGATCGGGCCCACAACCTGGGCATGTGCCCTGACCAGGAATCAAACCGGTAACCTCTTGGTGCATGGGTCAATGCTCAATCCCTGAGCCACACTGGCCGGGCCATATCGGCCTCTCTTATTTCCAAGGTGGCTGGTCCTGTGATCCCCATTTTTCACGTGAGGACACAGAGGCTCCCAAAGCCTGGCCCTTGCTCAAGGTCACACAGTTAGGACTCTGCTTCCAAATCCCCCCTCTGCTAGGGTGTTAGGGTGTCCCACCCTCCTGCCTGCCCACTCCAAGTTTCGAACCGTGGTCCCAGAGACACCCCCCAACATCCCACAGGGTGCCAGGGACCCTGGAGCAGAGGCTGAGTTTGGGCCTCCCACCACATCTCCTCTTCCTGGATGGCCCCAGCTGAACTCAACGCCCTCTCTGGTCCTCAGCTTTTGCACCTGTAAAATGGGTTCGACGACACAGGCCGTTGTCTAGCGTGAGGCCGGATGTCCGAACGGCTGCATTTTCAAGTCTGCACCATGACACCCGCTCGGCGGCAGCAGAAGGGCACTTCTCTCTCCCACCCCATCAGGCACCTGCGAGATTGCCGCCCTCGGTGCCACAGAGGTGCCACGGGAGTTTTCGTACCTCTGGCTCTTGCTGAGCCTCGGGACCTCTTCCTGTTTCCTAGGCATGAGTCGGTCCTTCTTTTGGTGACTAGTTGTTTATTTCTGTTGCTTGCCCGGCTCTTGGGCCGTTTGTGGCTTCCTTATCGATCTGCAAGCCCTCCTTCTGCAAAGGGGCACTGACCCCTTACCTGCCATCTTGTCCCCCGCTTGCTGTGTCTTTTTACCTTCTTTCCACCCTGTGTTCATCTGTTTCTTCATTAGTTAATCCGCATGTATCAAGCAACTAACTACTGCGGACCAGGCGCTACTTGGGGCCCTGGAAATGCAACAATGAACAAAGCAGACCTCCCAGCCCTCCTGGAGCTCACATTCTAGTGAGAGGCAAACAATACACAAAATAACTTCTAGGATATGGCGGAGAGTGGTAACTGCTACAGAGTCAAAATAAAGAAAAGGAGGGTCCGGCTGGTGTGGCTCAGTGGCTGGGCGTCGACCCTGCACCAAGAGGTCGCCAGTTTGATTCCTGGTCAGGGCACACGCCCAGGTTG